GCCGGAGTTAAACCACGACAACCACTCATGTATAACTGTCTGTATGAGGTTCAACTGTTTGTGTTCTCCTCTTCACATGTCTGCCTCAGTTATGTTTAATTGAAAAAAAAGCAGCTCTTCAGGACAGGGACTGCTCAATCCTTCATTTCTTTCTTACAGTCTACACTACACAGGGCTTAGATAAATATTAAATTATAATAATACTAAGAATGCAAAGCTGTCCTTTACAATTATGTGATTATTTTCACAGCACTGAGAATGAGTTTCCAAACTCCAAACTCAACTGGTTTTCTGTTGTTGCTAAACACAGTATTAATACTGCCATTCAGAGGGACAGAAAATGCCCATATTTGAAAATTTAATGAGATTTCATCTCTGCTCTTAGTTATCATCAGCCTCAAACAGAAGTTGCTTAATACTAAGCATTTTTTCTCTTTTTTCTATTTTTTTCCAGTTTGTTGCTAAAGCTTCTTAGTTTAAAAAAAAGTATCTGTGACATAGACAACATTATTAAAAAGAATTTCCAGAAATAAATAATTCTAAAGCATACTCCAGTCAGAGAATAATGATCCTGATAGTCTTCACTTGTGATTTAATACCTTGCTGTCTCAACTTGACTTTATTGCAGCAGCAATGCAATGATGCTAGAAGTACACTGTAAATAAAACATGCCAACTTAGTTGCACAGTCCAAGTAACTTGAAATAAATAAATAAATAAATCACACAAACATCAGTCAAAATTTCAATTAAAACAGCATCTTGCTTTCCATTGTAAAAATATGAAATAGTACTCAGGACAGGCTATTTCAAATAAAATTCTTGCCTATATTCAGTAACTCCAAGGTCAAAATACTGGAACTTCATTTTTCAAAGTCGAAAGGATGATTTAATAATTGTCTGGTATGAAGAGAACTCTGATTCTCTACCCTGCATACAATATCAAATTCAGTATAGCTTGATACATCATGTATTTTCATTCACACTTTCATTACAGCCCTGGGAAGTGCAATCATTTATTATACATTCTCTTTAATATTTTTCAAACAGCAAACACCATGTAAAATGCAAAGGGAGAGAAAAGAAAGCATCAGAAATCATACTAGAAAAACAGCGTTCCCTTTCTTATCCTCCTTGTTCTAACCATGAACCGCAGCAAGCACTGAGCAGTGGTGGACATTGGAAAATAAAACTGAACTATAGCACTTTATGCAGCTTTAATGTTCTAGTATAGCAGTGATAAATTCGGAGTGCCACCACAGTGTCACCTCTATGATAATTACTCAAGCAATAGATATTGCATTAAAGAGATCTAAGTGTCTCAGCAAGTTCTCTTTGCTAGTGGAGGTAGTTAGTGATATACTGGAGGAAAAGGACCCATCAGTTGTCCTCAAATTCTTTGCTAAACTTCAGTTCAACAGCCTAACGTGTCTGGGACTAATAATAAAAGGCACTTAAGCCTTCGATGCCCCTTTCCTTGCCTGAGCCCAAATGACCTAATTCTTCACCGAGCACTGGGTGAGTTCCTCACACAAGGCTCAAACCACAGACAAATGCAAAGGGTAGAGCACAGCATTACATGAAGGAGGTTTTTGACCACATACTTGTGACCCAGATTCCTTTTTTAACAGCTAGATTCAAAGGAGCAATCATCAGGCAGACTACAGGGAATCATCTCCCCAGTTAACCTTTCTGGTAGAAGACATTACAGTACAAGGACCTGTCATCAAAGTAAAGAAATCTTCATGTGTGTTGTGGTTTAACCCCAGCCAGCAACTGAGTGCCACACAGCTGCTCGCTGACCTCCCTCCTCCCCAGTGGGATGGGGACGATAATCAGAGAAAAAGACAAACGAAGGTTGAGATAAGAACAATTTAATAATTTAAAATAAATGAAACAAAATAATGATGCTAATAATATCAAAAATTCCAATAATAGTAATACTACTACTAATAATATGTAATGAAAATAACGGAAAAGAAAACAAATTATACAACTGCTCACCACCCGCCAACCGATTCCCAGCCACTTCCCGAGTAGAGAGAGCCAGAGAGCTTGAGACCCAGAGCCCCAGAGACAGACCAAGCCCGAGAGAGAGAGAGACACCCCTGTCCCATTCCCCCCAGCTTATATTCTGAGCATGATGTTTTGTGGCATGAAATGTCCCTTGGGTCAGTTTGGGTCAGCTGTCCTGGCTGTGTCCCCTCCCAGCCTCTTGTAGAGAAGCAGCTGGGAACACAGGTGCCGTGAGAAACTGAAAAAGTCCTTGACTCGATATAAACATCCCTTAGCAACAACTAAAAACATTATTATGTTGTCAGTATTCTTCTCGGCACAACCAAAACACAGCCTCATACTAGCTACTGTGAGGAAAATTAACTCTATCCCAAACAAAATCAGCACAATATGAAAGTGGGAAGAGAAATCTTAATAGCAAATACTATTTCACATCTATTAAAATGCTATAATGTGTGCATACCTATTACTGTAAATACTTGAAATATATAAGTACTTTGCTCTTGTTTGGCCAAATTTCTCTCATTTTCCTAACAGAAGCTTTGAATTTACAAAATAACTGGCTTCTGTTTCTTTTTCTGATGTCATTTTCGCAGAAAACACCTTCTAATTTGGAAAGCCATGCAGTTCTTACCTGGTAGTCTAAGAAGAGAAATCAGCAGTGTTTTCACAATAAAAGGCCAGCGGGCTTTTTGCAAAGTCACTGAGAATGATGTTAAAAATTCCCCTACTGATAGTGATTGCAAACTAAACATTTATTTACCTATGTAGTCTTAGGTAAACACCATTTGCTCTAGAGGAAATATAGTGGCTAGTCAGCCTCAACAGCTTGAATGAAACATTAGGAGAGTGTACCTGCATGACGATAAGAAGGTCAAACACCAAGATGAAAGAAGCCAAGAAGGCTCTTGAGACTTCATCACTTGGCAGAAATCCACGATTCAGTTTGTCCCAGCTGATCCAGTCAGTAGTGATGACAAGCACAACTACTGAGGTCAGAGTAAACAGAACCGTCCTGCAAGGGGAAAAAAAAAAGTTCTTGGAGAATATGGTAGAAATTAAGATGCATAATTCTATTTTATCTGTCTTCTAATGGTCAACTATTCCTTTATCAGTACTTTTCTGCTGATGAAAAGAGATTAAAGAAAATAAAGTGTACAAACAAATAATTTAATTCAAGATAGGAAAGGAGTCAGCTGTATCCTTAGTGAAAAGAAATCTAGTAGCTAGTACTAAGCATGTTGCAAATTAGTCTGGAGTGTATCACTGGTCTTTCATTCAATATTTTTCACTGAAGATGCAAACCAATTAAGTAAAGTAAGAACAAAGTAAACTATAACGATGTACCAAGGACTGTATGATCGAGGCCAAATTCAAATGAAGAATTTGAGATATTTTATAAGGCAGCAAAGACATTAGAACCTTCAAAAAGTCTTTTCTCAGCTGTAGGAGCTATAGGACACTGTGAAGTCAAATTTTTATACAGAAACATACGTATGAAAGGAATTTTCACTGCACTAAATTAAGCTATAGTAAATTCTGCGGACTGTAGAAAGATTTTGCTTTGTATCCTAAGATGTCCTTCGTACAAGTTTTCAACACATTTTATAGCATTTCTGAAAAGTCAGTGAAGAGTGAATTACAGAAGTAATAAAGCCTCCATATGAATGCTATGAGAATTCCAGAAGACACATTTGGCTAATTCATACAGTTTTGCAATATGGTATTTAAGAAAATATCTTTCTAAGCTATCCCCTCAAAATAGCTCTGCATCATTTCCAGCAGCACTTTGGTGATATCCTTCAGAGTTGGTAGCAGTGACTGAATTCCCGGTTCCATGGAAGCAGGCAAATTTAGCTGGTAATTTGAGGGGGAGCAAGGCTGCTCCCAGTAGCCATAGCTGTTAGTCAATCTGTGCTATAATAGGGGCACATCAACATCTGAATGCACACACAGAGCTAAGTAATTGTGGCAGGGTGGAGGGTTTTTTCACCGCAATGAAGTCTCATTTTCTCCAGCTACCAAGAGCTGTAAACCAAGGTGAAGAATATTTCCCATGACACTTCCAAATGGGACAAATGCTCAGAAGAGTAAAAGAAAAATCTGTACACCAGTAGTCACAGGCTACCAGTCTGTAGGCATTTCTTTTTATACATCAGCCTTGACTGTGTCTGTGTAGAAAGGGAAAAGAAATATGCACATAAGCAGTAGTGTACACATTTGGACTCCTAAACATCATTCTTCTGTGGCACAATGGGATATGTTTCTTCACGATATAATGAGACACAAAATGACTTGATTGCTACCACCTTTACCTTTGAACATTTATTTTTATTCTTAATAAATCTGGTTATAATCAACACTGTGGTTGGCACCATAAAAGTATCCCTTGAGTGTATTACCAGCATCTGGGCCAGAAAGAAAACAAATGAGGCATATTAGACTTAATTAGACCTAAGCAATATTCAAGCCTGCTTATTCCCAAAACATTTGCTTAGCTACCATCTCACCTGTCGGTACCTGAACCTGACAGATTTTTCCACAGGCTGCGTTTTGGCATGTACCTGGAATGGCTTACTTTTGGAAAGGTGATCCATTATGGTGTTTCTCTCATGCATACAGTCTCTCGAGCCCCACACAGGTGCGTTGTCCCACCTATTTCACTTTCGTATCTGAATTTCATATGAAGGTAAATGTTCCCTCCTTAGCTGAGATCTCCAGAAAGAACAGAGTCCTCAGTGCTTGTCTGATGGCCCCTGCAGACTGTCCTGGCCACTGGGTGCCCTGATTATCACCATCCTCATGCTGAGGAACCCACATCTCCCAGTGCACGAACAGTTTAGAAATGTAACTCAAGTCTTTGTAGTTTGCTATGGGAACCAGGTACCCAGAAGTTATGCTTAACACTATTCTGCTTCAGTCCTCTTGAATTATGCATTTGCGTTTTGGAGCAAGAGTTCAAAGCATGGAAGGTCAGACTTTGGCACGTTTGCAGGCAAAAGCAGATTTATTTTTTTTCATGCTTCATCGGCATGCATGCAATGACCAATGTGTGTGTTCAAGCCCTGACTTCCTTGAGGAAATGCATATGCACTTTAAAAACTGCTTTGTTATTCATTCTGAAATGTCAGATAGGGAGGGAAGAGAGCACAAAATGAGCTGTTAATAGAATAAGAAAATGTGAAACCAATAAAAAAAGCTTAGAAATTGACTTTTGAAATGGTTGCATTAAACAGCATAATTAGCACTCAGTTGTGTCTTTGACCTATGGTACTGGAACACAGCAAGATATTCAATACATGCTTTTGGAGTTACTATCAACTGAGTTAGTCTGGGTTAGAGTTCAGTTCACTTCTTGTGCAAGTACAGCATTGCCCCACTGTCCTGGGGATTAAGAGCAGAAGACGAGGATTTCATTTAACTTGACGTAACTTGTACCAGATGCACCAAGGTGAGCTACCCTGCAGTGTTTGGGCCAGTGTTGTTTGCCTTTATTCTGCAATGCACCTTACTGAGGAAGTGCTACACCATCAAACTATTCACAGTATTGCTGGCAGGACAGTCCTTCTGCTTACAGAAGGGCTAAAAGGGGAAAGGCAAGAAAGGACTGACTCGTCTCTGTACCAGACATTAAAAAATGAAACTTCTTTCTCTACTTCACAGAGGAGATACACTTTTATATCTCACTTCTAATTCTAGCTTGCTGTATTGAATGATTATGCGCCCTGGGCACCTATTCAGTTACAATAGCACAAATTTTACAACCTAGCCCATACTCTTCAAGATACAAGATTGCTAAGAAGAATAAAAGTTAAAAAAAAAAAACCCAAACCTCTGCAAAAAGCCACTGTCCAGGCCAATTGCGTACTGAGAAGTCAAAATTATTAGGTAGGTCCAGAAAAGTCAGCACTGTGGTTATCACTGCCAGGGACGAGCTAACATCCTCAGCTCTACACCGAACTGAGGGAAAGCTTGAAGAGAGGAACTTTCTACTGCCAGGAACCTCTTAAGAAGCAGTTAATTTTTTTAATCCTGTATGTCTATAATCTTTGATATCCAGGACTGAGCTTGGTCTTGAATTTGTCAAATCAAGTCACTCATGCTAAACTGAATCCACACTGCTGGCTCTCATTTGCCATCAGAATATTAATTTTGCCCTCACATACTTAGCAAGGGCCAAACCAGATGTCTTTGGCTTCTGTACCTTCCCACCACAGCACTTTCTTGGACTATAAATTTTGATCAAGCTGACCAACGACTTAGCATCTATCACCCAGCATATTATACACTATGAGAGATTATGCAAAACATGGGCCAGAAGCTTGAGCAGGTTTTTGTCCTTAGTGGTGGCTGCAGATAATCCCTCATGGCAGACAGGGTCATAACCTCAACCTTGCAGTCTCTATCATGAAGAAATGCCATTTCTGGAGAAGAAAGGTCATTACACTTCATTTTCCTTTACATTGCGACAATCAGCATTAAGTACAGAACAGAACATTCACATGCAATGGGCCACCTTCAACAAACTATGCCCAGTACCTGGTGTTAGTTTACGTTCAGTGTCTCCACTCTCCTGCCCTAGTGTTCAAGCACATAGCCATCATCCTCTGAAGTCTTGATAACCCAACGCTAGACAAGTTATTTGGAAAGCACGTGGCAGTGGAGAAAGAGCTGGAGCGTTATGTCACCAGTTACTCGCTCCCATCACAGGTGTCATCCACAGCTTTGCCCTGTGTGATCTCTGAAACTTTGTAAAAGTCTGGTCACATATGAATCTTCTGCTTGCTCAGGGGAGGTCATAGTTATGTGAATAGAGAAAGGCTGTCACTGCAGCATAGTGCAGACCCTGGTGAATGACTGGTTTGCATGAAATGTTTAGAAAACCAGGCATCTTTGATTCAGGGCAGTCCAGTATAGAGGTAGGCAGTGCTGCATATTCCCTGCTGTCTCTGGGAAATATGAGTCCTTTTTTTTTTTTTCCTCAATCTGCCCATAAATTTCACAGTGTTCTCATGGAGTTTGCACTGGGCTGCTTTGCTATGAGATCACAGACTTCATTTGTTCACCTAAGAAGCTTTCTAAACTCTGTGCCCATTAAGTTGGCATGCAGTGCACTGCACAGCTGCTGCTACAAAAGGAACTCTGCTAATAGGACTGTTACTGGGAACAGTGGGCTTCTTTTTGCTGTGAGAGTCCATACATATCTACATTGCCCACACATGCAATGGTCATTGTGTGTATGAACTCAGCCCTATTTCTGCCTGTCAGGCTGAAAATATCATGTCCTTCTTCTAAACACCCCTTGCTCTTTCAAAAATCACAACAAAATTATCCCCACTCTTTCTGTCGCTCTGCTCCTTGTATACAATGCCTGGGCTGTCACTTTGCACATGATAACTGGAGCTCAGGCTGGACCTTACTACTGACTCTTTAAACAAAACTCCTGTTGTAAATGAAAGTAGCTCTCCATCAGCCCTCCCTTGCTGGTGCTCTTCCCTCACTCGCTGAGAAAAGCTCTCCTCATGGGACTTCCTGAGAACTTTCTCTGCTGGTGTCCCAGTGCCCAGATGCCCTGTCTGCCGCACTCTGCCACAGCTGTGGCCAAAGGGTGAACAAGAACTGAGAAAACTTAAATCAGAAACACGGGTACATTATATACTTACAAAGTGTAATGAAAGAAAAAAATAACCTGGACAAGAACACCAAGGACACAAAGCCAGTGTGACACCACAGCAAGAAAAATTAACAGATCAAAATAGGGCCAGTTGAGGCCAACACATTCCCTAGAAAATCAAATGAGAATAGTGTGCATTTGGGTGAGCAGAACTGTGCCCTTCTTCAGCAGACAATACTCTAAAGTTAATGTGTCAGGGCTACCTGGTTTTATCCACTCCAAAATACTGACAATAGGGTAAGATTTCCTAAAAAGCTCTTCCAGATGTCTAAGATAAATCCTAAATGCTCAGTGAAAGAAAGCAAAACTCACATAACCCAGTGGTGTGAGTAATCCACTGC